AGTGCTGCATAAGGCTGGCTGGAAATGTCACATGGCTCAGTTTTTCATTTCATAGTTCAAGTTCAAGTTCAAGTGGCTTTATTGTCATTTCAACCATATACAGCTGGTACAGTACACAGTGAAATGAAACAACGTTCCTCCAGGACCACGGTGATACATAAAACAACACACTAACCACATGAGATGACACAGAACTAACTACAAACAAATATGATCAAGTAATCTATATATATATATATATATATATATATACCAATACACCAATATCATAAGACTTCATTAGACGCCTAATTTAAAGATGACATCTACAAATTTCTGTAGTTCCATTCCATTCCTGGTCAGTTCTTTTTGTCTTTTTGTCTTTTTGTTTTCTGATCCATATCACTGCCCGAGCTGGGACGCTGAAATCAAAAGGACTTTAATATTGGAGAGGCTGATAGATGTGTTCATTTTCATCATGGCTGCCATCACTGTCTGTCTAAAGGCCACATGCATTTACACACACACACACACACACACACACACACACACACACACACACACACACACAGACACTCTAGATGGAGGCCACAGTGGGAGAGACGCTCTTCTAAGCCCTATTAATCACACTGCAGCTAGACATTGATGTGTATGAAGGACAGCATGGGCGGGGAAACGAGAAATAAACAGCACTGAGATTAGCAGCACACGTAGCAAAACTTCAAAGTTCTGCTTATTTAGATGCTGTGGCCTCCACATTGCCTGGTTGTAAATTTTCCAGTTTAAAAAAAAATATTGGCTCTATTTTGCAAAAATAATTGACCAGTCATTTGATATAACAACAGTACAAACGTGCTATTTTTATTTTCAGCTACAAATTCTTGAGTAGTTTTAGCACTAAGTGATTTTTTTCCCCCATGAACCTACTTGATGAGCATTTTGATGTACATTCATCCGTTGAACAAGTTAGGGATCCTGGAGACTATCCCAGGGAACTCAGGGCACAAGATGTGGGACACACTGGCCGGGCTGCCAACCCATCACGGCTCACAATCACACACACATTCACACTCTACATCCAAAAATTATAAACGCCAATCAGCCTACAACGCATGTCTTTGGACTGGGGGAGGAAACCGGAATATCCAGAGGAAACCCCCGACGCATACTCGACACACACAATGGGGCGGAGGCGCGATTTGAACCCCCGACCCTGGAGGTGCGAGCCAGACATGCTAGCCACCATGCTGTAAAATAATCCATTGATAATACTATATATATGAATGTCTGTCTGGAGTGTTATAACACTAAATGAAAATCAATCATCAGAGTGAAACCCATTTGTTGAAAAACGGATTGTTGGTAATATGCAAATGATATGCCTCATTACATTTGGGGTGAAAAAACACAGCGTTTCCTAAGCGTTCCTAGGAGATTTCTAGGGGTTTTCGGCTGTTCAGCAAATAATTAGTGAAATACTGTACATCAGTGGTTCATTTCTTTATCTCATTTCATCTGGTTTTATTTAAGGTTCATTAGCACAATATTTAATTGCTTTCATTTTCACAATAACACTTCATGATTTGTTATGATATATGAGGGTAGTCAAATGAAAACTATATATATTATATATTTAAACCAATTATAGTGGTTATATAATATATATAACCCAACTTAGTGGTTAGCACGTTCGCCTCACACCTCCAGGGTCCGGGGTTCAAGTCTCGTCGGGGCCCTGTGTGTGTGGAGTTTGCATGTTCTCCCCGTGCTGCGGGGGTTTCCTCTGGGTACTCCGGTTTCCTCCCCCAGTCCAAAGACATGCATGGTAGGTTGATTGGCGTGTTTAAAGTGTTCGTAGTGTATGAATGGGTGTGTGAGTGTGTATGTGATTGTGCCCTGCGATGGACTGGCACCCTGTCCAGGGTGTACCCCGCCTTGTGCCCGATGCTCCCTGGGATAGGCTCCAGGTTGCCCATGACCCTGAAAAGGAGTAAGCAGTAGAAGATGAATGCATGGATGGAGGCTTAACCCCGTGCTAGAGTAGAAACAACGTTTTTGAGTGTAATAAAGCATGATCTGCATAATTAAACGTATCAGCCTGCATTTTTTTCACGTTTCGCCAAATATGTATAGTACAGTAGATGTAGATGTAGCTTTATCTAAATCACATGAAGAGACAGCCTGCTTTCATTGTGACTTTGTTGTACAAGCATCTAAATGTAACTAAAATGATCCTAAAGGTTTTGGGAGCTACACTCATATGACTACATTTATCTCCAGCTGAGATGGGAGAAAAAAATGGCTCGCCTTATTATTTCGAGTCCAACTGGAGTAAAGTCTAACTTAATAAAGCTGAACCGATATGACTTTGCCATTGTCGCCGAAGCGAAATGCCGCTTTAGGATGAATCACGGCAGTGTATGTACGTCTCTCTCACATCCTCTCATCTGCTCTCTTTTACATTAATCTGCACAGCGAGAGTTCGGAAAGGACAGAACGAGAGACGCGCCTGAGGAGGATGAGAAGTGAAGTGGAATTCTCATGAGGGCTAAAGGAAGTCCTTTACTATATAAACACACACACACACACACATACTCTCTCTCTCTTTCTCTCGCTCTCTCATATAGTCATATAGTCTCTCTTTGTCCACTATGAACATGGCTTCATGATCTCTAGGGAAAGAAAGCTTCTGTAGAAATTTAGAAAAGAAAAAAGAAAGAAAACCTATCGCATGCTTTTTTATCACATTTTCTTTTTTTAAATAACTTTTTCAAAAAGAGTGAGAGGCTGGTGAGGAAATGACTGCGTATAGCTGTTATAATGTAAGTGATACCAGGAACTAACTTGTTTCATGCATGTTCGGAAACATTGGCTGTAACTGTAAATGGATATAAAGGAAGTGCCATTCATCCGTTTTGAATAAAAAAAAAATCATCACTGTAGTATAAGAGGGATCAAACACTTCAGGACATGATGTTCTTCACTCCAGGCCACATCATACCATCCTGTCATTGATTATTTTCCTCTACCAGCACACCGGAAGTGTTTTATTCCTCATACAAGTGCATCTCAAAAAATAAGAATATTGTGGAAATGTTTTTTTTCCCATAATTTAATACAAAAAGTGGAACTTTCATAGATTTTAGATTCATTGCACATCAAGTGAAATATTTCAAGCCTTATTTTGTTTTAATCTGGATGATTATGGCTTATAGCTCATGGAAATGAAAAATACAGTCTCTTGAACTATTAGAATAAATAATTTATAATGCAGAAATGTCGACCTGAGAAGACTCTAATCAGCTAATTCACTCAAAAACACCTGCAAAGGCTTTAATCTCTCAGTCTGGTTCAGTACACAGCCACAATCACGGGGAAGATGGAAGTAAATGTTGCAGTTCATTTGGAAATCAAGGTCCCAGAGTCTGGAGGAAGAGTGGAGAGGATCAGAATCCATGTTGCTTGAAGTCCAGTGTGAAGTTTCCACAGTCGGTGATGATTTGAGGTGCCGTGTCATCTGCTGGTGTCGGTCCACTGTGTTTTCTCAAATCGAGAGTCGATGCAGTGTCTACCAGGAGATTTTAGATCACTTCATGCTTCCATCTGCTGACGAGCTTTATGAAGATGCTGATTTCCTTTTCCAGCAGGACTCGGCACCTGCCCACAGTGCCAAAACTACTAGTAACTGGTTTTTGACCATGGTGTTAGTGTGCTTGATTGGCCAGCCGACTCGTCTGACCCGAACCCCATAGAGAGTCTATGAGAGAGACCAGACCCAACGATACGAGCAGAAGGCCGCTATCAAAGCAACCTGGGCTTCCAGAATACCTCAGCAGTGCCACAGTCTGATCGCCTCCATGCCACGGTGCACTGATGCAGTAATTCCTGCAAAAAAATTTTATCCCTGACTGAGTATCAGCGCATAAATTAACATACTTTTCAGAAGGTCGACATTTCTGTATTATAAATTCTTTGTTCTAATACTGGATTTTTGATTTCCGTGAGCTGTAAGCCGTAATTATCGAGATTAAAACAAAAAAGGCCTGAAATATTTCACTGCACGTGTAATGAATCTAGAATATATGAAAGTTTCACATTTTGAACTAAATTGCAGAAAAAATTTTACTTTCCCACTATATTCAATTTTTTTAGATGCACCTATATGTCGGTGGGTTGTAGGTGATCCAAAATGTTTAACTCAAAAATACTATATAAACTCTAAAATAAAAACAGTGATATCAATAGAGCATCATTCTGAGTATAAAACTATAGACTTTTCATGTATAATTCTATGATGATGAAAGGAAACCATTTTGCTCGGCAGATTTCCAGATTTTCAGGACTGTTCGCCTGAGTGTGTGTGTGTGTGTGTGTGTGTACATGTACACGACTGACTCTTTTCTCTTTTGCCGTTCCTGAACCTGTTGAGGTGATTGATGACCCTCGTTGCTCGTGGTTATATGTATTACCTGGCACTTCTTCTGTAACACTGCATCACTCATACTTTGACTGACTGCTTTGTGACTAGTGTGTGGGTTCTAGCAATTTCTCACTCTTGTGTTGGCTTGTCACTTTTCCTGTTTCTCCTACAAGTATTTTGGTCAGCTGATGAAAGTGTGTATGACTGGATAAAAGAATGTTCCACATAAACAAATGTTAATGCACACTGCCAAGTTATGGTTTAATCAGTATTAGTGATGGGGGGAAAAAACAACAACAATACAACATTATCCTACCAAAGAATTTCGATTTTAAGCTTGTGTATCTTAATAGGCCTCATTGTTAGTTCACAAATTCGTAAATACCGTATGGAAAGAATAAAACACTTCGGGACATGCTGATATAGGAAAATAATCAACAACCGGATGGTGTGATGGGTGATGAGTTACTGTTACTATCCCAAAGTTGATTCTTTTCCTATAAAGGTATGTCCAGAATTGTTTAATTCCTTACAGCAATTTGGCAATTTAGTTACATTTAATATTGTGGAATGTTAGCAAAACAAGTTAGGTCACATGTTAGCATTGGTGGTGTAGTGATCACCACAGCTACCTTCCGAGCAGTTGACCTGGGTTCGATTCCTGCCCAACGCATCACGTATTTTTTTCTCATTCGTAAGTCGCTTTGGATAAAAGCATCTGCTAAGTGAATAAATGTAAATGTAGTTCCTGTAATCACGCACATTATAATAGCTCTAAACACTGGCCTCTCTTTTTTTTCTCTCTCTTGAGGTTACAAAGGCAGAAACGGTGCTATATCTTCCAGCTGGAAATACTGTCAGAGCTGCATTCTAGAAAAAAAGCTCGTGTAAAATTGTTCAAGAAACTTCAATTGACACCAAACCCGCCTTTAAACACCAGAAAGGAATTTAGAGAGGAACATTAAGTGGAGTCACAGGACTGTTCAGAACAATATTCAGCTGGGAGAAGAGTAAAATGGCATTGCTTTTCATGGCTCTGTGGCACAAGCGGTCATATTGGCCTGATGCTACAGGGAGCATTAGTGCAAATGGAACAGAGCCGAACAAACACTCAGCTACCCCAGGAGAAAAGTAGGATAAACTCATTTGCAAAGAAGGCAGATAGTGAGTACAAGGAGAAAGCAGGGGACTATAGTAATGGGATGTGTTGCCATTTGTCATCAACCCTAACAGGACCTACAGGTGTCCAACACCAAGATCAGCATTAACAGAAACAGTGACTTATCAAAACCATGTTTAGCTCTGCTTGACAGGTTTGTTTCTTAGGCACTACTAAGAGACTCATAACATCACATCTGGAGCCATAACATTGTAACCAGCATCATAACATCACAGCCAGAGAAATAGATTTATAGCATTGGTGGAGTTTGGGTGGGGGGTGGAGACACAAACAATTTTTTACATATGTGTCATTTCCCTTTAGAACACTATCCCTTTAGATACTGTTGTTAGTCTTTGCTCGCCAAGAAGATGTGAAAAATGAGAAAATAAAAAAGAATATAAATCTGGTGCATGTAATTGGAGAGAGAGTTTGGAGGAACAGCAGAGGAAAACCTCTGCCACGTCTAGTTGTGCCCCACTGACGAGCTATTTTTGCCATGCCGGCAAGTCATCTGAGGTGACAGACTTTTCTGCTGACAGTGCTGTTGTTAGCGCTTTGGAGGGTGGAGATGCTAGCCAGGTGGTGTCCAACAACACTGAGGTTTTCCTGTCCTTAGCAAACTCCTCTGCTCAGGAAAATATCAGTGGGGATGTTCAGGAGCAACAAAAAAGTGACGACGCAGATCGACATTGTCAGTCAGAGTCAGAAGAAGCTGTAAACTGTGGTTCGCCTTCTACTAACGTTAATGAGCCAGACGCTAACTTTGACTACACAGCCTGCACTGACAAGTCTGAGGGTAATGACTCATTCCAGCTTGATTTAATCGAGCTGTACCCCACGGATCCCTACCTTTTTAGGAATCAGCCATTCACTACCAGCATTATCAGAGCGTTGATCAAACATGGGCCATGTCAGCCAGTATTAAATGATGACTACTCTGACGTTCACTCAAAAGGTACGTATGGTAGTTTGTGTATTAATCGGCAGTGGCAGAGCCTTTGGTGGAGTACATCAGCGACAGTCCATTCATGTTTGAGGTTGCATTTACTGCCACTATTTGTTTTTTATTATACAACAAGATATTAATAATAAGGGGGCCCTGAGGGGTCACAACATCAGAATTAGTGTAATACCATCACAGCCAGTGTCATAACATTGCAGCTAGAGTTATAACTTTGCACCCAGTCATATCATCGCAGCCAGAGGTGTAATATTATAGCCAGAGTAATAACATTGTTGCCAGAGTCATAACATAATGGTCAGACTCAAAACACCATAGCTGGAATCATAACAATGCAGCCAGCATCATAAAATCACATCTGGAGTAACAACATTGTAGCCAGAGACATAAAATTGCAGTCAGGGTCATAACATTGTATTTGGAGTCATAACCATACAACCGTGTCCACAGCATAGTAGCTAGAGCCATTATATCGCATCCAGACTCATAAAAATGAGCAAGAGTTATAACTTTACAGCCACAGTCGTAACAATGCAGCCAGAATCATAACAGTGCAGCTAGAATGATAACATTTTAGCCAGAGTTTTAACATAGTAGCCAGAGCTATATCACAGCTTAGGTGATAACATTGTAGCCAGAGTCATAACGTAATAGTCAGAGTCACAACGTCACAGCTGGAGTCATAACATTGCAGTCAGAGTCATTACATTGCAGACAGATTCATAATATTTCATTTAGGGTCATAACATTGTACTCGGAATCATAGCATCACAGCTGGAGTCATAACATTGCGGTCAGTGTCATTACATTGCAGACAGAGTCATAACATTGCATATAGGGTCAGAACGTTGTACTTGGAATCATCTAATCACAGCTGTAGTCATAACAATGCAGCCAGAGTCATAACATCACAGCTGGAGTCATAACATTGCAGTCAGAGTCATAACATCACAGCTGGAGTCATAACATTGCAGTCAGAGACATTACATTGCAGACAGAGTCATAATGTTGCATTTAGGGTCAGAATGTTGTACTCGGAATCATATCATCACAGCTGGAGTCATAACAGTGCAGCCAGAGTCATAGCATCACAGCTGGAGTCATAAGATTGCACTCAGAGTCATTTCATTGCAGACAGAGTTATAATATTGCATTTAGGGTCATAACATCACCGCTGGAGTCATTACATTGCAGAAAGAGTCATAATATTGTATTTCGGGTCATGACATTGTACCCAGAATCATAACCTCACAGCTGTAGTCATAACATTGTACCTGGAATCATAACAGCACACCTGGACTAATAACATTGTACCCAGAATCATAACATCACACCTGGACTACTAACATTGTACCCAGAATCATAACATCACACCTGGACTACTAACATTGTACCCAGAATCATAACATCACACCTGGACTACTAACATTGTACCCAGAATCATAACATCACACCTGGACTACTAACATTGTACCCAGAATCATAACATCACACCTGGACTACTAACATTGTACCCAGAATCATAAAATCACACCTGGACTAATAACATTGTACCCAGAATCATAACATCACAGCTGGAGTCATAACAATGCAGTTACCATCATTGCATCCATAGTCAAAATATCGTAGTCAGGGTCATAACAATGCGCCCAGAGTCACTTCATAGTAGCTGGAATGAGAACATAGTAGCCAGAGTTATAATATAACAGCTTGAGTCATAACATTTTAGCCACATTCAAAACATATCAGGTGGAGTCATACAATCTAAATTAATAGACAAAAATGTTTATTTTTCTTTTATCCCAGACTAGTTTTCATGCATGATCTTCATCATTGATATAACATTAAAAAAAAGTGTTTGGTCCCGACACACACAGCACAAAGAATGTATGGCACTAACATCCCCCTGTTATAGAACTCATTAGCTGAGGTTGTGTTAAATATGTAGATGTATGATACCTAATATTACTCGCGAAATGCAAATGTGAAAACCGAAAGGCCATAATGTAGGTCTGAAAGCGTTCACAGCTCTGCATGAGGTTTGGATCCTGACCCATTTGTGAGTCGCTTTCAGTAAAAGCTTCTGCCAAATGGATCGATGTAAATGTTAATGTACTTTTTCAGAACGGACTAGTTCTATAGGAATATGTATTAGCATGTATTAGCATTAAATAAGGTATTTATGGAAATACACACAAAAGCCTCTACTGTGTGTGTGTGTGTGTGTGTGTGTGTGGGGGGTACAGTTGGGATTCCTTTTCTGAATAATATTTCTAATTATGCATCAGCACTGTCCATCCATCCTCTGCCTCTTACTCCTTTTCAGGGTCACGGGGAACCTGGAGCCTATCCCAGGGAGCATGGGGCACAAGGGAGGGTACACTCTGGACAGGGCCCCAGTCACCAGCATTGTTAAATTCTCAAATCTGATTGGTCGCAAGGTGTTGTTAACAGCCCCCTCTGCCTTGCACACACACAAATAATATCTAATGTGTAGCTTTCTTTACCTAAACTCACTAGTATGAGGAGGAAAAGTATGCTTATGATTAAAAATGCATTAAGAGTGAAATGCGTCGTCTTAAAAAGCTTATCTGACCATAAGAAGGGTTTTAATAGGAAGGCCAATGCTCGTGAAACTTGTGAAAACGCAATTAGAAAACCTTTTAGTGTCTGGTGCGTCATCAGTGAGGACACGTGGGTAAATTCGGGGTGTGTGTGTGTGTGTGTGTGTGTGTGCGCATGAGTCTAGGTGGAAACGGATATGGTGTTTTTAAGCTGTACAGTGCACAACCAGGTAAGGAGGCAAAGTTTGTATATGTGTGTGTGTGTGTGTGTGTGTGTGTGTGTGTGTGTGTGTGTGTGTGTGTGCGGGTGCTGTATGACAGCAACATGACAGTCCTTCCACCTAACAAAGACCCCGGCACCCTCTCAACATCCACCTGTCTCCGGCCATTCAGATGTGTACACAAAACTCACACACACACACACACAAACACACAAACAGCATACTGCCAAGATCCGACCTGTCTCCACCCCCGTAACACACACTCGACTTTTCAGCACACAGTCAAGTGAAGAGAAGCTCTCTCAGCAACCACCCCAACACACACACACACACACACACACACACACACACACACACACACTTACCTACCACCCTCTCTTTATTTGCCTTGATGCTGAAAATATAAAGGAGAAAATGAAAACACACCTTTTTTTTTTCATTATTTCCACTCCTCTACATTCGAGTGCTTTCCTGCTTGACGAAAATTCATATTTATGCTAATGCCAGTCTCTCTCTCTCTCTCTCTCTCTCTCTCTCTCTCTCCGAGGGGAGACTAGGCAGGTAGGGAAATTAATGACAGCAGATCACGGTAATGCTTTCTCTGTTTCATTAGATGTTATATCTTTAATTTACAATAAACAGAGTAATTAGTAGCAGTTTCCATGGAGATCGTGCCCGGCTCCGCTGCGACTGCTGTAACCAAATCTGTGTGTGTGTGTGTGTGTGAGAGAGAAAGAGAGAGAGTGCATGAGAGCGAGAGAGAGA